ACACCTGGCCATGATCAGTACCACCTCTCTATAGAGGAACACCTGGCCATGATCAGTACCACCTCTCTATAGAGGAACACCTGGCCATGATCAGTTCTACCTCTCTAAGATAGTTTAGTTAATTAGTTTAGTTCAGATCATTAGTTTTTTTTAGTTTATAATTTACTCCTTATCAGGAGAAACTGATTATCCTAGAAAATAAACCTATCCATGTTCATAGAACATCAGATGAAAAATAATATTATTCAAAGTAATTTTTTTTCTGTTGTCAAATGTATTGCATTTTTGTCGACTTATATAATGCATATCGATAATGCATAGTGGCTTATTTACACAGTAGTGTATTGCTATTTTCGTTATCTACTTCATACATTTACATGGAACAATACAACTTTTAAGACTGTAACAGTCTAACTGATTTTACTTATACAAATGTTATCAGAATAATTATGTCCATAGCACCCTTAGATAAAGTTGGGTCACATATAAATGTGATTTTATTCACATTTAGTTCCAGATTTGAGCTTTGAAGTCCATTTTTATTTTTTACATGTCAGCTACACCGATTTGGGGTGGTATTCTGCGACGGGTAGTGGCATGTCTGCAGTTTTTAAACTCCATATGATTTTCAACTTAATGCTCAAAACATGGATTTTAAGATAGACTCACTTTCTAGATCCCAGAAGTTTTCCCTTACTGTTGATACTGCTAGCAGATTCCAGAGAGGGGTGCCATGTTTTATCATTTATTGGGTGCAATCTCAATTTATATCTGGTCCCCCGACTTCAATGCTGTACCGTACCGCAAAACTACCAGGCAGTGTATGTGTGCATACCTCCAATACAGAAAAAAAATAAAAATGCTCTTCTCTTTGCTTTAATAACTCATCTGAACAATAAGCATTGGAGGTGATCTCTTTCGATAGCCATAACTCTGGTTTTGTATTAATTTCATGCCTTATATCTATGTAGTCCACGTCTGTGGTATTGGACCGAGGCCACAGACACAACTGTTGATTTACTGTTTGCAGAAGGATTCCAGTTCTTAGTCTGTGCAGGCTGAGCATGTGCTGAATTTGCTTTCAGTGTGTTACTGGTCTGATAGGATGTCACACACGCTTGCTGTTCCCTCTATGGATTTTAGCTAATATTCCCAAAAAATTGCATGTGTTCTCCAAATACTGTAAATAATGTAAGTAATGAATATGAATGACACTTTCAGAAGCAGTTTGGAAAGTTTTTTACATCCCAAAAAGGTGGTAGCTTACACCTCTGCACACCAGCCTTAAAGACTTGTATCTGCACTTTCAGAAGAATCTCAACAGTGAACATGTTTGTTTATTATTATAGCAATATTAATTTCATGAATAATATTAATTATTCCAGGAATTTTACAGAAGGTTTTTCTGATCATTTTGCAATGTTTTAATCTTTATATTTCAGGTAAAGGATGAAGTCAATGCTGGGAACCTTCTTTTTAAACTTGGAAGGGTGGAATTCGAAAATGTGTATTTCAGCTATGTCGAAGGGTAAGGTCACACACACAAAAGAATGAAAAGCAGTAAAGAAACTTGAAAATTGCACCATTTAGTCAATACGATTACTAGGTATTTCAGGGATTGGTTTAATTCCAGCTGGGTTCTGAGTGTCTAGTGCTGATTGATGACTTGTCTCTTCAGCCAGCCCTGTGTGTCCAGATATCCTGTTTCCAGGGTACAGTTTCAGCACACAGACCGTGACACAGCCTCACCTCAGGTTGCTTGCCTGTATGACTGACTAAACGCTTCTTACTAGTTGACACACATACTGTATGATGAGCATGACACTGTATCAAACAGTCCTACAATAAGTGTTTTTTTTTCCCCACAACTGATGTCCAATTTGTTATATTTCAGACACCTGAAATTCAGAAATTAGTACAGGGTTGATACCCTTACAAATGACAAATCTCATTTGACCTTTTAATAGATGAAAATAACTGTACAAATGTGTTACAGATAGAAAACTGAAATTGATTAGCCTGTGATTAAGAACTTAACTGTAACAAAAATCAGAAGACGCAGTATTCCTCCAAGAACAAAGGTTTATAGGGAGCTTGTTTGTCAAACTTCCCCATTGGTTCAGGCAAATGGCCAATGATTAAACCGAATTCCTGTTATGTTAATGTTTCTAGGGGGGCTCGATCACCACCGAGGCTCTCATACTGGCCCTGGGGATATGAGGACTGCGCTTATTATCCTCCAAAACATGCACTTTTTAGAGCCATCCCCCGCTTGTCATGCTGCGAGTTCCTCAGCGTCCACAGCGGTTAACTGTGATCAACACTGCCTAAGTGTTGGAGTGATGTATCTGCAGCTGGTGCAGTGTTACTATCATCTATCATACAAGAGGCTGAGGAGACTCTGCTCAGTTTTAGTTTCAGGCCTCAGGTTTGGCTAGTTGTGGACTCCTGGTCACAGCACCAGGTTACACAACTCAGGTTCAAGACTCCTCCTGATGTTCTTACTGATTGACGTACTCAGTGCCCCCTGCCTTGTCTTAATATTTTTGCAATGTTTTTTTATCTTATATGATGCAAGTTAGCTCTATATCAGTGGAAATAATCACTGTAAGTTTGGTAATGCTAGCATTAGTAAATTTGTGAACATAGACATAAGGTTTCTCCAACTACAGACATAATCTCTCTGGACTATTTACTGTAATTACAGTGAATCCAAGAATACACGGTTCCATTGATTTTATATTTTATTCATCTCATTTTATTCACAGTAAAGAAATTCTCAAGGATATATCCTTTACAGTTATGCCTGGTCAAACTGTGGCTTTGGTAAGTCAACCACATGGAAAAATGAATTAAATCGAGTCTAGTAATTCTGTAATACAGGCCTTGTTTACAGCAGATTGTGATGGTCTCTGATGTAGCAGTGTGTGTCTAAACCCATTTGGTGACTCATCCTAACACAGGTGATGTCCAAGCAAGTCTGTGTATTGTATATGTGCATTCCTAAAACACCACTTTCAAAACTAACAGCTGTGTCAGGAGCAGTTTTCTGTAATGAAACAAATATTTTTCAGTTGCATTCATAAACATATTTTAAGAAACACGAGCACTCTTACTGTATGTCTCTTGTACTGAATAAACTGTTATATAATAGTAATGATGCCCTCCAGGGTGTGTTGTGCTGGAATGAAATTACTTCCGAAGTATTGAGAACAATTAGCCTGTATGATTACACCCAATCACCCTGGGCTAGATATTATCACAATTAAACAAACTCCCTGTCATGCATCTGTTTGTTATGTGAACTGTCCATAAAATTAAGACTAGATAAACATTTTAACATTTTAGATGTTTTACACTACAGCTACAGCTCCACAACATGTTTTGTTTCAGTGCCTAATTTTGGAATGAACTATCATGTGAAATGAATTGTATCCCTCTGACATATTTTGTTGTTACGTCACTCAACAGGGCAACCAAGAGTATCAAAGGCTCTTGAGCAGGAAGCTTGCCCCTTGGCACAGCGGTTGTGAGCTCTGTGGGTCTGATGCATAAAGGTGCTGAGAGAGGCTGCCCACACGAGCTGCCAAAGTGTCCCTGTTTTTTGAAGCTGACGTCCTTGTCCACTTTGGTCAGGAACAGGGCTCCTGTTGGGAATCAGCCTCTTGTGTTTCTGTCTGCAGGTGGGACCTTCTGGATCAGGAAAGAGCACCATCATCCGACTTCTGTTCCGATTTTATGATGTTCAAGGTGGCTGCATCCGGATCGATGGACAGGACATCTCCAAGGTAGGGTTCTCTGCTGTGGTGCGGTGTAATACATTTTCAAGTAACAGGAAGATGTGGAAGGAGGACAATATTTGACATTTGGAAGTAACTCTGCAGCAAATGTTGTTGGTAAAATGGTTTTCTCATGTCAGAGTAACTGTACCTTTGATAACACCACACGATTAAAGAATAATTACTATTTTACTTTGCTGCTCCAGCCATAGCTCTTTCCTCCACCTCCTCTAACATTTCAACCAGCTTTCCAGGTGTAGAAAAAACAAGATTGCTGATACTGCCAAACTGATCTTATATCACCAGGAAACTAGCAGTAAAAGCACCATCCTCTATAAGCCTTAGCTCAGACATGGCAAATTTCAGGAAAACTGAAATCACATTAAGAGTTTCAGTAAGCTGTAAATGGTGAGATCAGGCTGATTTAAAGTTTTTCATTAGTGCTTGTTGTTTTTCTTCCAAGGTGAAGCAGGTGTCCCTGCGTGCTCACATCGGCGTGGTTCCCCAAGACACCGTGCTCTTCAATGACAACATCCGGAACAACATCCGCTATGGCCGCGTGAGCGCCAGCGATGAGGAAGTGGAGGAGGCAGCAAGGGCCGCTGACATCCACCAGAGACTCCTGAGCTTCCCGGAAGGTAACGGGCCTGACCGTCCATACACTGGCACTGAACCGTACGGCATGAAGGAAAACAGCTGCGTTGGGGTGGGAATTCTGACAGGGAACACAATGCAGCAAAGGAAGAGGTAAAGGTTTATTCCACGCTGAAAAGAAAAGATAAGAAGCATGCGAAGAAAGCTTCACAGCCAAAACGTTGTGTTTCTTTTCTTCTCTTCTCAGCCTGCAATAAACCTTTACATGTTCCTTTGCAGCCTGTGCATGCTGACGCATCTCCCTGCTTGAGCTGCTTATAGGTAGCAGGAAGAGGAAGGAAGTCTGATTCCACTGTCCCTTGCAGGGTATGAAACCCAGGTGGGAGAACGGGGCCTGAAGCTGAGTGGTGGAGAGAAGCAGAGAGTTGCCATTGCCAGGACGATCCTGAAGGGACCACAAATCATCCTTCTGGACGAGGTGAGCCCAGACACCCAGGGGAAAGACATCAATGGGAACTAAATCTTATGGGTGATTCCATGGTGACTGATATTAGTCTAGGACGAGAACACAGTAAAATAGTTGCATAATACAAATTTAGATAATTCTATTTCCCTAAATTACACAAGGAATACATCTTGTTGTTGCATTAAACAATTCACTTCATTGATTCTTATCATGGCATCTCTATAACTACCCCTATATGCATGTGTGTGCCCTGTGATGGACTAGTGTCCAGTCCAGGGTGTAACCCTCACTGTACCCTGTGCCTGCCAGGCTGGGATCCAGATCACCACAAGCCTCTGAATATAAAAACAGCTGCTGAAAATGGACGAATGGTTGTACAACTAAATGTGTACTTTTTTAGTTGGTCTAAATAACATGCTGTAATATGTTTTTAATTTTATATAGCACTTCTCACAACACATAATCTCGATCCACTTTTTCATAAAAGACCAAAGCAATTATTCAGTGTCACGGGAATCAGTAAAGACCCTATGCAGATAATCTGGAAGTACCTGGAGAAGGACAAAAGGGAAGACATGCCGTGGATCAGGACGGATGACAGATGGGGGGCGGTGACGGCAGTGATCCGGTGCCCGGGGGATGTAGCAAACTAGCCCAGAAGGAAGTCCAACAAGGGGAATCAGGGTGCAGTCCAAGGTCCAGGTACTGGGAGATCCATCCAGACAAACACAGGGAAAAGGGATCCAGGAACAAAGAAGATAAAACCATAACGGAGCAAGGCGCTCCGAGCCCCGGACTCGGATGGTCAGGACGCCATTCTGAAGCCTGTGCCCTCAAGCCTCAGGCGTGGGCGACGATGCTAGGAGGGCCTCTGGGCGTCGTCTTCCAATACTGAGCCCAGAATAGCAGAGATGCCAGGCTTAAATAATAAAAACTGTAACAAGACACAGGTGTAGGAACTAAAACTAACTGGAATACAAAAGGGTAGGAGCGCCCTCTAGAGGGGGGAAGATGATCGTGGCATTCAGCTGAGACCCTGTGACAAAATATGGGGTAACATTTTCAGGGAGGCATCTAGGGTGATCTTATGATCAAAGGCTGTAAAGGTCAGTGAGACGAGAAACACTAAGGAGTTCAGAATGGAGAAGGAGCAGGACTGTAGCCTCCATGTTATGTAGGGTAGGTGTAATCTATCCAGCAATGGTGAAGGCAGAAGAATTTGCCGAACAGAGTGAGTGAGGTGTTGGTGCGAGTGTTATATGTCCTCCTAGCAGGCTGGAGCACCGCAGCAGGAGTGGTTTGTGTGTGTGTGTACTCGCCAGGAAAGGGGACAAGTATGAGCAGGAACCATTGAGGATTATAAATTCTGGTGTTTAAAGAAACAGCCTGATTGGGCAGAGTGTCTGCCAGAACACAGTATCTGTAATATGTCAGCAGTATGAGAGTTTTTTAATTGTGTAAGTAGAGTTCAGAAAGCGGGGGTGGTAGAGGGACCCTCTCTCTAGAATATAATGTATGGAGCGGTGAAAGAGGTCTGTCTAACTTCTGACTGGTCTAGGCATGTGATGAAGCAGTGAGGTCTGAGGTGCTTATGAGTGTGAAGGAGCAAGGTGTGGGTATGAGGGAGTGGGACGAGAAGCTGTGACATGAGTGAGACTGCGAGGTTTGGGCAAGAGAAATGTACTGGAAGCTCTGAGTAGTGTGAGGAAAGGCAGCGGTGCATGGGCACGTGCTGGTCAGCCTGCTGGTGAATGGCCTCAGAGGAGGTCATGAAAGGACTGAGGACCTCTGTGGGTGAAGGAGTACTAATGAGAGATATATGATGACACAGAGGTAGTAAAGGACACACTCACAAGAGAGGCACAGTGTGCTTCAAGCCGCAGGCAGACTCGCACACCTGTACTCCTTGACAGAGACGGAGGCGCTGCCTGAGAAGAAGGACCTGCTGGGCTGATGGAGAGGATGCAGCCACCAACATTAACCTTAACTGGCTTTTGAATACTTGGGTCAAAAATGTGTTTAGAGCCTAGAGGCCCCTCTGTCTTATTAACTGGTTGTTTTTTCTGGGAAAACTGCCTTTTGATGCTGTTCCTGTTTTGTTGTTGCTTCCCAGGCCACTTCAGCCTTGGACACCAAGACCGAGCGAAATATCCAAGCATCCCTCGCTAAAGTGTGTACTAATAGGACAACTATTGTAGTTGCACATAGGTAGGTATCAGCGCTTCACTGAATGGAGACTAACAGTTTTCCATGTAGTGTTCAAGCTGTAAAGGAAAGTTTTCTTTTTTCTGCTGAATAGCTGAATAGCAAAAAAAAGAAAAATCACTTCTTGGCTGTAGAATCAAAACCTAAAGGTGCCTAAAGTAGGATCCACATCGAGACTTTGTTTTCTTTCTTCTTTTCAGTGTGGAATTAAACTTTGCTTGTTTCATACGTTTTCAGCTATAGAAGCAAGAGAACTACTTACACTTCTGTTTTAAAATCTGGCCTGTAGATTTGAAGGGCTAGAGTATTTAGTTGTGTCCTTGTGCCTTCTTTTCCTTAACAGAATCAGGTCGCAGAGGTTTATAATCATTAAAAAAATTAATATACTCAAAATGTGTGTAGAAAAGAATGATATTTTTCAGTATTAAAACACGTGTGTGTGTTTCAGGCTATCAACCATCATCAGTGCTGACCAGATCCTTGTGCTTCATGAAGGCCAGATAGCAGAACGTGGCAGGTGAGTAGACCCACTAAAAACCAGGTGATTTCTACTTCAGAGCTTCCTGCTGAGAAAACAGTCCACTGAGACAAATGAAAAAAAATACACTTGTGTATGGGAATGATCTCCATTCAGTGATCAACGTGAATAAGCTAATATTCTTTTTTTTGAGCACCAAGGTGGCAGCGGAAATGTGTGTCTTCATTTGATGTGATTCAGATACATGAAATTGAAGGTTTATTGGATATATATTGTTACTGGTGATGCAGAGGCTGCTCTTATGGTGAAAGGTGCCTGGCATGGATGGTGACTGTGGGCCATATATTAACATTCTTATCCGGGCTGTGAGTATATATAATATAGTAAAACACCTGGAAACAGTGCTCAGATACACTGTTCATGCAAACGGGATCATATACCATTGTAATAGATACAAACTGAGACTCCATGCTTGTCAACTACCAACAAACTAATTCACATCCCTTCTGTTTCTCAAAACCAACATTTTACTCACCAGAATGTCCATTTTCATTAAAAATACTACCAATTAATGCTAACACTAACTCAAACTGTTAACAATTTTAACAAACATATTACTACAGAATCTAAGTTTAAGAAGCTGTGGAACCACACCCTATTTACCCCATAAGGTATTGAGTCCTGTATTTGTGAATTTACCATTTTTGGAGATTTCCTAAGAGGTACTTAACCCTCACAAATTTTCTGTACTCACAAATTGTTCAATCAATTTGATCTCATCACGTTACATTTTTATTAAATTATGTTTTCTCACTACTAGAAGATTTTAATTTCTTAAAGAATGGACTATTAATTTTAAAAATTCTTGTCTAAACATAGTAACAATGTGAACCTCTCAGCAACATACCCTGGTTATAAGGTTATAACAGAATTCTGCCAATGAATTTGGTTTAAAAAAGGACAAGATGTAACTTTATTTTAATATTGCGGTGGGATGGTGGCATATTGGTCAGCATTGCTGCCTTGCAGTGCTGGGGCCCTGGGTTCAGTTGTGGTCCTGGGGTCCACTCTGTGTGGAGATTGTGTGTTACCCTCAGTCCAAACAGTCCAAAGACATGCTGGTAGGTTAATTGGCTTCTGGGAAATTTCCTTCTAGTGTGAGTGTGTGTCTGTGTGTCCTGCAATCGACTGGTATCTGTTCAGTGTGTATCCTGCCTCGGCTGTCGTTTGCCTAGATAGACTCTGGCTCCCTCACGGCCCTGTATCGGATCAGGTAGTTATAAAATGGATGGATAGAAGCAGAAGTACCATTTCTAACCCTTCCTAAAGAAGGCTGCTGGTTTGCTTCCACAGCGCCCTCTTGTGACTTGGAAAGAAGCTGGTCCCCCTTCCATTCTTTACACTGACATGAACATACTCATTATTCCAACACTGCTCCCAGAGTATTCCTTATTAAGAAAAAATTAAACTACATATATATTGTTATGATTTAGTAAGGCGCTGCAGACAGCGGCGGAGGAGTACAGGCTGAATCCGTAGGCTTAAGGCTACAGCGCAGCAGCAGAGAGTTCGTGGCCAGAAACCAAGCTTTTGGGTCTTTGGGCATTTTTAGAGGAGGCTCAGCCGAAGCTTGCCAAGGGCAGCCAAAGGCACAGGTAGGGGAGGGAAGGCCGAGTCCTGGACTGGGAAAAACGGCTCTGAATAGGCAGGCTGAGCCAAGCCACTTGGAGTGTCTGGAAGCGCTCCCAGGTTTGGGAAGCGAAGTCTTCGTCGGGACCTGGAGGAGAAGCAGGCACTCCTAGGCAAAGCATGAGGATCACCGTCTGTGGTCAGACTGATGTGTGGGGAGCTGATCCTCTAAGAGGGCTCAATGTCGGAGAGCTTCTGAAGTGGCATCTAGGGAATAAATTAAGAATAGGTAATTGGACGATTGGTTGCTTCCCTAATTCGGGGAGGGCTAGACAGAGAGGCGCCAGGTCAGATAAAGCACACTGTTGCTGAAAGAGGGGATGTGTGTGGTTTATTTATGTAACTTATTGTGGTAAATTTGTAAAAGGACGATTTGTCATTAAGAAACACTTCTTGATGTAACAAGGGAGTCTGAGCCCTGTTTCCTCAGCTCTCTAGCAAAGCGTGGTCATGGCTGCTGCTTCATTGTTTTCTTTTCAGCTGAGATTCTGTCTGATATATTGAAGGGAATTTCTTTGCTTTTGTTAAGTATTGTATTTGTTTTGGCTACTTCACATTTCTTCTGTAGGTAAACCAGCACCTCCCTAATTGCAGATTGGGCTTTTATCATGAACATTACCTCAGGTTTACCATCTGGCATTGTAAGCCCAAAGATCCCCATCAACCCCAGAAAAGAGGAGTTAGAAATTCCCTCTGCCCTGTGCTGGGTACATGGTTCAGTGGCTCACTTCGCTGCAGAGGTGACCAACCCAGCACTTGTGATTTGTGAGGTTCTCTCCCTGAAAAGCAATGCTAAGGTGATTGAAACTGGTATTCATCAAGCAGTGCTTCAAAGAGTAAGGACTACAAGCAGGAGGCAATATGAATGGATAGAACTGTACTTAACTCAACATTTTATTCTTACCTTATTTTTACCACAAAACTTCCACACCCATGGCATTTATATCATGAAGCATGTAAAGCTAATTTTTACTAGATACAAACAAGTTTGTGCCCACTCTATTTTTGTTAGTTTTGTACCACTTCCATATCATCCCTATCTGTAGGCTGTTAACTGTAAGAAGATAGGGTTCTGTGAATGTCCATGTCCCTCTGTGTTGTAACTGTTGCCTAAATGTCTTTTTGCCTTTTTCAGACACGACGAGTTGATTGCTAAAGGAGGACTGTACTGTGACATGTGGCAGAAACAGCAGCAGGGCTCGGACTCTGACTCGGCCTCTGATACCGAGACCAAGGATAGGAGTACAGAAAAGCTGCAGCCAAGAGAAGAGAAGACCAAGTGAGAGTTCTGGGTCACAGAGGACTCTCTAGGCTGACTGTCTGCCCTCAGGATCTGTACAAGGCCTGTTCTGGAATGTGGGTGCACACCCTAACATTTCCATTGCTTGGATCTGAAAATAAGGCTTCTGGGGTTTCACTGGTAAAAAACCTTTCATCCTTTCATTTTTTTTTTGAGGCCACATTATTTGGTATAAACATGGTTTTGCAATTCAAGTTGGAATATCATTTAGCTCCTTCTTATTTACAAATGGAATTTCTCCTTTTTTTATTTGAAAAGCAGAGAAACATTTAAAAACAAATTGACATGTGAAACCATTCTTAATTTAAACATAGCACCTGGCAATGTTTTCATGAAGATTATGGCCTCATGTTTGTATTGTATTTTTTTAAAAAAACAGTAGAAAATCAAACTGCATAAAAGGGTTTTATTTTGTTGGGATGTATATTGATTTAAAAAACACTAATGAAGTGACAACGGATTAAATGCTCTAAATGTAAGTACAGAGAGTTCAGAGCAGCCAGTGATTCTTTGTCACATTAAAAAGGGAAAGCAGTCGATAACAGTATAGATGTTTTCAGCACGATACTCATCCAGTACTCAAACATCTATATACATTGTTGTTTTAAAAAAGTGTGAAAAGCCTTTTTGTTTGTAGTATATACTGTCTATTATTAAAGATGCTGTAAAGGTCAGTCAAGCAGTTGACCTTCACTCTACATCTGCAATCAACGTACCAAAATAAAATGACACCTGTCATTTTTTCCACTTCGCTTTTCACACCAGGGACTGGATTTGTGGGACTCCTTAAAAATCACACCTGACCCTGATAACATTACGCGCATTGCAGTGTTGCTGTGTTCACAACTCAACAGGAGTGTCGTACATTCAGAATGAGGTGAAGTTCCTTTGTGAACGTGTGGATATTTAGTGTTGTAAGCACATACCTTCTTTCAATATGCTTTATGTTTGTGCATGTGTAGAGACAACCTTTTCTAATGAGTGAATTTTTTTAAGTTGGAGAAAATAGTATTTTCAAAGGGATCTGCTGCAACAGAATGGGATTACTTTGTTAAAACTGTGTTGAAATATTTATTCAAAATAAACATTTGATTGTAAGTTTTTTTTAACTTCTTTTATATATTCCAGTAAATAGTTTTCAGGATAAAAGAATGATTCTTGCTGTGGTTCTACTACAGCAGGGTAGTTCAACCCTGACATTGGAGTGCCATGTTTGTTTCTGGTTTTCAGAACATAAGAATTGGTTTAAAATTTACAATTTAACCAATGTAGGTGTTTCTTTAAAGATGAAGTTAAACGAATGAGTTTATTGCATGCAAGGAACAATAAAGCTAAAGTCTTGTTTCCTGCAAGAAACAACAAAACTGAAGTATTGTTCAAAGTGCCGGTACAAACTTTAGGTTTATATAGTCCTTCCTTGCTGCTCTGATTCGTCATTCGTTATTATGGTAAAGAGGGGAGGTCATGTGTTTGACCAGTTTACAGCTTTTTGGCCAAATGGTCAGGGATTAGTCTCCAGGGGGTTCCCTAGCTCTCATAGCTGCATCTGGAATCCTTATCAGTTAACCCCCTTCCTGCCATAAACATCCAGCCTTAGAAGTCTAATCTTCATGCAGAAAGGACTTAAAATTAACCCCGTCTTCACATCTTACTTCATTCTCCCCTTATAAAATATGGCATACGTCAGTATTGCCTATTTTTTACACATAAAATGTCAGGGCAGATTTTTCCTTTCGAGGTGAACAGGCATGTATTGACATGCGTTCCACAGTTACAACAAGATGTGATTGATGTTTTCGTACAAGTGATAGTTACATTTATACACATAAAACAATCCTCTCTCTCTCTCTCTTTCCTAGCATTAATCCCTCATCAGCAGGGTCTGCTTTCGGCACAGCAGTCTCCATTTGGTGGTTTGAACCAAATCTTTGAGCTGACGTTGCCATTAGCTGCGACCGGGAAATACTCCAACCGGCGCGTCGCTCCGCCTGCCGTCGGAGTGGGAAGGGGGGGGGGGACATTAAACAATCCTAATCCTACAAATAAAGTCCTACCCCAGGACCCAAACTCAGACCTCAGCCATGTGGAGATCTATGGTCAGGATCTTGGAATAGCAATATTGACCCAACTCTGATTATCATTTTTTGGCTGATAGATATGCCAACACCCAGAATGTATTGATACCATATCCCCAGTAATGCTCCTCAAGCCTAACAAGCACACTGTTGGTCCACCTTAGGAAGCATCAGACACAGAAATGGTAGCAACATCCTTCTTTCTGTTCACTCAGTCTCTGGTGCCGTGGGTCGGTGAAAGTGCGATGCACGGATCCAGCGATCTCATCCTGTCACTCAGATGGCACAGTCATTAGTTAGTGGCACTTGATATGGTCCCTCCCAGCAGGATTGCAGCATCTTGCAGGGTATCTCTTCTTCACCTACACCCACTTGCCAGGTATGCAGTCGTGTCTTCCCTCTACTGGAGGTCCCCAAGCGTCCAGCACCTGTTCACGAGCCCTGTGCACAGCTTTAGTTAACAAACCTACAATACTGTAATAGAGAGTTAGTAAATTCAACAGTCCATTAGCCAAATTTGGCCTCCAGGGAGTTTCTTTGGCTGCCTGTGATGATCTCAAATGGGCTCAGTCTCACAGTTCCGTTTGCTCCAGCTCGCAAACTGCCCAGGACCGCAGGTAGAGCATCTACCCACGGTGTTCCTTCAGTTGATATTTCCTTAGTTGGTCTTTCAGACTGCGGGTGATGGGGGCAATGTGACTTCCAGCTTACCCCTAGTGAGGCGATTACAACCTGGCACACTTTCCCAGTGTAGTATGTCCCTAGATCAGTATCCAAGGGGCAGGGCAGTCCGCACCACGGAATCATCTTTGTCATACACCTGGGTATCCGCCAGCCCACACCCCATCATCATACAACCCCACATTCTTTACACATTTTCGAACCACTATTAAACATCTATTAAAGGCCCCAAACTGAATTCTCCCTTTTCCCCAATAGAGGTTTCACAGGGTACTCAGACTCCCGCTCTCCCAGTGCCGCTCGTCTGGCATCTGCATCTGCATGGTTGTTACCTTGAGTTACTGGAATTCTTTATTTATTGTGTTATTTACACCTTACTACAGCTACTTCAGTCGGCAGCTGCAAAACTACAAATCAGTTCAGAGACAAGCCCAGTATTCTTAACTGGAGTCCC